AAACTAGATGCCCATTCAAAAGCTTACCTTAATGCATCATCCCATTCTGTATCATTCCTTAACAATCCAAGAGCATTGCATGCTAATTAGAAAGTTTCATATGTGACACCAATAATTATTCTAAATTCTTCGTAGCTTTTCATACCCTTTATGACATTTTCCAATAGTCAAAAGTGTGACATTTACCAATAGTCAGAGGTAATATAATTCACCAATTACTAGGTGAATAAATGTGATTCTCTCAATGAATCGACCATTCTTCCTTTCTATCCACACTTGTGTGTTTGCATGCCATACATAATTAGTGGGCAATTCTGTATAAGTAAAAGACCTTGCTTGTGTGTATTTTTTATTAGTTTCCACCCACTTTGTAAACATTGTTCTCTGTATCCTAGGCCTTTGAGTAACAATAGTTAGATTATTAGTATCATTAAATGTAACATTCTATTGTTTTGGCAAGTGGATAATTAGTATTTGGATAGATGATTCACGAAAATGGATTAGAAAGTCAAATAATCTCCAATAGGTTTCATGAGCTAACAAATATCTACAATCAAGATATTTTTTTTAATTTTATCAATTTTCTCATCATAAAAGGTTTTTTTCCTTGGAATTTGTACTTGTTGTTGCATAGTAACTTGTACTCTATCGAGCCTTTTTTTAAATACTTAAATAAATATTTAATAGCCCTTAACTTATTACAACCTTCAACATTTACATGTGGTTGATATTTAACTATCAAGTCTAGATTATAAGGAACAACCCATCTATTATTAAGTTCAATTTCATTTTTCACAACAACATGATTCTTAAATGAATATTCTTTTTTTCTGTATAAAAGGAACTTATCATTATTAATAACAGTTTCTTGTTGGAATTGTTTAGGATAATTCTTTTTACAGATAATGTTATGCATGCGTGGAGCATTAGAACAAATTGTATTACATGATCCATGAATTATGTATTGTGTTACAATAAGATGCCCTATCGGATATTTCATTTTGTTTGAAATCTTAGCCAAAATAAACTTATCTACATTAAAATATGTTAGTAGCTTATCATTCTTGTGCAACCATAACAAAATATTTTAGTAGCTTTATCATCCTTGTGTAGCCATAACAAAATGTGAACATGAGATAATATTCTTTTTTAAAATTTCATAGTACAAATGGTTGAGAAAAAAAACATTAAATCAATTTATGTTTTTTTTAAAAAAATAATTTTAAACTTTAAATGTTGTAAGTTAGCATGGATAGAAAAAAAAAAAAAACTATTCAATTAATATTTTTTTATTTGTTAGAAACAAACCTACAATAGTTCTTTCAAAATGTTGTTTTTCTGTTAGGTTTTTCATAAGACGGCAAACTTTTAACATAAATACTCTACAAACAAAATTTAGTTAGTTTTCAGGTCTTTGACTAAGAATGAACTTCAAAGCTTCTTACATTTCTTGTCATTTAGAATTGTATGTAAATATGATGAACAGATTTGGAAATCCATAGAAAACGACAAGTGGCTAGAGCATTTTGGTAATTCTGAAACATATACAAAAGCCAACTGTAAATGTGCGGGAAGTATGATACGTTTGCTAATATTGTTTGCATTATTGTCACCCTTACAAACTGCATCTCTAATTTCTTCATAAACCTTATATCGCATTTATTTTTTATTCAATTTGATATAATCTAATCTATCACCTTCAAAACTTGCAAAGGCATTAACCAAATATTAGTGAAACATTTTCTCACCTTTTAATAATGTACTTTAGTGTGAGAGACATTGTTGAATCATATAGGCAAAGTGTTTTCTCATCATATTGCATTTTCTTTTAACTTGTCTCTTACCACTATATGACCTATACTTAATTCCAATTCTATAACCATTTTCACTATATAGAAACACCAAAAGGTATTGCATCGTCATATATAATGGATGTAAACTATTTATTCATTGGAAACCTTTAGATCTACGTTCAATAATTATATCACATTCATTAATCAATTATTCTAAGTCTCCAGCAATTAATCTAGCAATCTCAAGAGCTATTGGTGCTATATCAATTCTATCTTGATCAACTTTGTATCCTAACAGCCTCAATTTAATGTTAGATACTTCTAAATTAATAGATCTATCTCTAACCATTATGAAAACTTTAACAACTTCATTATGTTGATCAAGCATATCTAACAAACCTTGAATCAAGCTGTCATCAACACTCTAACATTTTGATCACAATTTAAAGTATTTTTCTTGTTTTGAATTCATTCTCTATGTCATAAATGTACAGTTGTGCAAACTAGAGCCTTTGACATGGTTGTGGAATCAAAGATCCTAACCTATAATACTTTTGGCCACTATTTTTGAAAACATATGGCTCTAGTTTCATATTTATTAAATGATCAACTTTGCACCTAGTGAAGTAAACTGGAACATTGCATTATAAATTTTAATGTTTTTTCTAAAAGTAGTAGTTTTACCACGTATTTCATAATCTAGCACTTTATCTAAGAATTTTGGTATAGGCTTTGGAGTGAGGAGGTAAACTTGATCCTTCCTACAACACAAAGAAAATATTGGATTTTGACTCCTCCTAAAAATGTTGAACCTCTCATTATACCACATCAAAACTCTACAAAATGGACATACACATGTTAGGCCTCCAAAGTTAACAGGTGTTGTATATATTCCTAAATTTTTTTACAAACAACAATAAGATAATTGTTTCGTTAAAAACATATATTTTAATTACTAATCTAATAATTTAATATGTTTTTGAAATAAAATCTACTTACTTGGATAAGAATGTTAATTTTCTTGAGTAGTTGGTTGAATAGGTGAAAGATGTCTAATAGGTTGGTTGCCTACAAATGATTTTTAAAAAATTTTCATCAAGCAAATCAAGATTCTATTTAAAAAAAAAGGTAAGTTTTTTCAATAATCTCTCACCTAAATGTCTTTTGGTATCTTAATTATGTACTTGATTGATAAAAAGGTATTGCTTACGCTATTGCTACATGTTCTACTAATAACTATTGTATGTTTATTTGAATTAGTGTTACTTAAAACAACAGAGTTTCTTTCACCATTTGAAAATTGAGATTTACGTACATTTGATTCAGACTCAATTGAAGAATCTCTAATGTATAATTTTTTATTTTGCAAGTTGTTAGATGATAAAGAGGTGTGTTTCCTTTTCTTCCTTTCTTTTAAAATTTCATATCTAATAGCTTTGTTATTTCTATTTAAAACTACTTTATCAAAATTCATTTCAACTGTACATAGAAAATGTAATAAAGAATTAACATCAATTCACATAATATCAAGATAAAAGCTTAAAATCTATTATCATAGGCCTTTATCATAATTTGTAACAACAGTTAATATATGATTTTATTAACTTATAGAAGCAAATAGAAGCCTTGGTTTGAAGTATTTGAAAGGGAGCTGCACAAAATTCAATGTAAAAGTTTGTAAGTCTATTTTATAAATCTCATAAGCTCATTAACTTAACTGTAAACATTATACAAAGAATCAAACTACTTAAATAATTTTATTATAATTTTTGATAAAAAAACTAAAGAGACAAGTGATTAAAGATATCCTAATGAAACAATAACAATTTTAGATTGATGTACTTGATTTTCTTTACAAGAAAAAAACTTCACAAGCAAAAAATGGTAATTTCAACAGCAAATTTATGGAATTTTTTCTCTAACACAACAATCATGATATGTGTATTTTGTAACAAAAGATAAATTTTGAAAACATGAATTTAGTTACCTGGGTTTGAAAAAGAGAGGATTCGAATGGCATGGATAACAATAAGCCACCAGTAGCTTGATTTTCTTATGAAATTGGTAAAAAAATGAGCAACCATTTATTTGAGGTTATAAATAGTTTCAAAACAATTAAAGGAAAGGATTTCAATAAGAATGGATTGATATGAATTGTTTCGACCATTTAGGGTTTTGAGAAAATTAAAGAGAATATTAACAAACATTTATTGTAGATTCAATGAATTTCAATAAACAAAAAACGTGAATAATTATTAGGGATTTTAGACAAATAGGTTAGATGAATAAATGAGAGGAAAGCAAAAATTTTTTTGAATTTTTTTTTGGCAAATCACAGTTTTATCATTTAGAATTCTTGTAAAAGTGTTCAATGGCTTTCAAAAATCAAAGGTTTTCAATAATTATGAGAAATTACAGGAAATTGGGTGAGATCAATGAGATGAAAAGATTTGTTGGATTTACAAAAAAAAAAAAGCACCAATCGAAAACCCTTTCATTTTTTTTTTTTGCAAATTAATTTTGGAGAGAAAAAATTTGTAGATTTATTGAAATAATATTAGATTCAAGGTATGGCTGATGAATTTCCAAAAACATGAAAAGAGACTAGAGAATTAAGACTAAGGAAGATGAAGAAAATTGTTTTTTTCATTTAATGAGTAGATGATTTTTCCTTTAGTAATAATGAAAAGATTCAAAGCATGAATTATTAATAACTTTTTATCATGAATAAATTAATTTTATAATATTACAAAAGATTTTTAAATTATTTAGTTTTGATATTTTAATTTTTGTATAATTTAATTATATTTATTTAATTTTAAAAATTAAATCTAAATATTAAATCTAAACGATTCAAAGGTCAAAATTAAAATAATTCAAAATTATTTAAATTTAAATTTCCCCAAAATTAAAATAATCAATCTCGAATTAATCTCATCCAAAATAATTTTAACTTAAAATAATTTAATTTTTTCTTATCTTAATTCAAAATAATTTAATTATTTTTTAATTCAATTTCAATTTGATTCAAACTCAAAACAGCTTACTTATTTTTTTACCCAAAAAAATTCGGTTCGATATGATTAATTTTGAATCTGATCCAACTTGCCATTTACTACCTCTACTCACGGCCCACGAAATAAGCGGTGCGTTTTGTTTTTATATTGGGGATAAATAAACGGATGCCTTTATTCGTTGTCCTCGACGATGCTACTAATTGGGGAAAAAAAAAAAAAAAACAGAACTAAACTACTATTAAAAAAAAAAAAAAAACACTAAGATTTAGCATTAGCAATTTAGCAGAGGCCAGAACGAGCGAGGGAAGAAGATCGATGGAAACTAGAAGCAGCAGTGGCTCAACCTCAGAATCGGTGACCATGGTAATCCACAATGCAGTGATCGTCACCATGGATTCCGAGAGCCGTGTCTTTCAAAACGGAGCCGTGGTCATAGACAAAGACAAAATCAAAGCCATCGGTCAATCTCCCGATATTCTTCAACAATTCTCTCCTCTGGCTGATCAGATTCTCGACCTCCACGGCCAAATCGTGCTTCCTGGTAGTGCCTTCCTCCCTTATCATTTATGTTTCATTTATGAGAAATCAAGAACTTGATTTTTTTTTTTTGGGTTGCTGATGTAGGATTCGTCAACACACACGTGCACACCTCGCAACAGCTGGGTAGAGGAATAGCGGACGACGTGGATCTAATGACGTGGTTACACCATCGGATTTGGCCGTATGAATCCAACATGACCGACGAAGATTCTTACATCTCCACTTTACTTTGCGGAATCGAACTTATTCACTCTGGTGTACGCAATTTTTTTTTTTTTTAAGTTTTCTTATTTGACTTTTACACCATTTCACGTTCTTATATTTTTCCTTTTTTTTTTTTTTTTTTTCAATTTTGGCTATAATTTTGAAACAGGTCACGTGCTTTGCTGAAGCGGGAGGGCAGCACGTGTCAGGAATGGCGAGAGCCGTTGAGTTGCTGGGATTGCGAGCCTGTTTAACGGAATCAATCATGGACTCTGGTGAGGGTTTACCGGTGTCTTGGGGGGTTCGAACCACGGATGAATGTATTCAGGTTGGGCCTATTCTGATTACTGTTTCATTTGCAACCATTCAAAAAAGAAAATTTATTGTTCCTAAAGTTCAAACATTCCTGTCGGATGACCAAAGCTCTTAATTTGGCAGTCTCAAAAGAAACTTTATGAGAAGCACCATAATACAGCAGATGGCCGAATAAGGATATGGCTTGGAATTAGGCAAGTTATGAACTCCACTGATCGTTTACTGCTTGAAACCAGAGACACCGCTAGAGAATTAAAAACCGGCATCCATATGGTACTTAACCTCTACCTCACTCTCTGTTGTCCAAACATCAGGATGTTGAAGGGTGATTCGGCTGATCTTCCACTGTTTAGCATGTTGCAGAGATACCCTATGAGAATCAAGTTGTGATGGATACTCGGAAAGTTGATCATGGGACTGTTACATTTTTGGACAAGATAGACTTCTTGCAAAACAACTTATTGGCAGCTCATACAGTTTGGGTAAATGATACTGAGGTGAGCTGCCGCCATACTTCTGTGTTACACTTTATTGAAATACAATTCAATTGCATTGCATGATTTCTTATCATTTTACCACCTTATGTGCAGAATTGAAATACATCTGTCTCATTCTTGTTTGTAGTTTTCTTGTATTAATCATGTTTTTCTTCAGATTGGTTTTCTTTCAAGAGCTGGGGTCAAAGTGTCTCACTGTCCTGCTTCTGCTATGCGAATGCTTGGATTTGCACGTATAAGGGAGATGCTCAATGCTGGCATCTCTGTCTCCTTGGGCACAGATGGGGCTCCATCTAATAATAGAATGAGCATTGGTTGGTTGGACTTCTGAAACCTGGATTCTCATTCCTGCATTTTCTGCATGTTTGAAAAATACCATTGTGCCGAGTAGGTTTGTGTGCTTTTGCAATTCTGGAACAAGGATTCCCCTTTCTAGAATCCTAGAACTTCACTTAGATGCATGCATTTCATATGCCAAAATGTGTTTGGTAGACATTATTTGCTTGCAAAATTTTGCAAAACCATAAGCATAAGGAGACCAAGTGTTAGCTTTTATTTTCTGCTTCTCAGAGCCTTCTTGTACTATAACCTAAATGATTGTACTGCCATGTCAGTCAAGTCATGTGCAAGTTTGTTGATTACAGCTTCTCTTAATAGTCTGATCTTTCCTCCTTGTAGTTGATGAGATGTATCTAGCTTCTTTGATTAACAAAGGACGGGAAGTGTATAAAAGGGGAACAACTGATCGCACAGCCCTCCCTGCTGAAACAGTTCTGAAAATGGTGACAGTTAATGGTGCAAAATCTGTACTCTGGGACAATGAAATAGGGTCGCTTGAGATTGGGAAAAAGGTCAGACTATTTTGGTTCCTTTTGGTTAGTGCTTTTTGTTATTTGCTTTTGCTTTTTGAATAATTGCTATAAAGCAAAAGTAAATGGTAAAAACCAGTATCATAATTGACTTAAAATGGACAAATAATTAAAATATAATACCAAAATAACGTAATTAGTCCATGTAAAAGTAGAATCATGCATTTTGTCAAATAAAAAAATTATATATTTTGTGTGTAATCTTTTAGGGAGTGTTTGGTTTACAAAATCTTAGATTTTGAGAGGGAAAGTGATTCTCGGGAAAGTTTGGATTCTTGGCAAGGCGTGATTCTTCCTAACATACGAATGTTAGATTCCAGTATTTGGTTTGGAGGAAACTTAGAATACTTGATAAAGTCTTTTTATTATAATGTCCTTTATTATATAACAAAGATAATGTTTTTGTTAAATATAAACGTAGTCTTTGACCAAAATAATATGAAGTCAAATATAGTCAAAGACTATGTTTTTGTTATTAAAACAAATAAAAAGTAAAATATATCAAAGACTACGTTATTCTTATATAAAACGCAATGTTTATATCAATCATTACGTTTTGTATGAGCCTAAACACAATGTTTATATCAAAGACTACATTTTTGACATAAAAAAAATCATAAACGTGGTCTTAGTTATTTAAAAAAGTGCCTTTTAACAAAGACGACGTTTCTTATGTAAGAAATGCAGTCTTTGTATTCTTAAGACTGTGTTTCCGACAAAAAAAATGTGGTCGTAGTTATCTAAAATCGTGCTTTTGTTATTTAACAAAAAATGATGTTTCTTATGTCAGACATGCAGTCTTTGTATTCTTAAAGGCTACGTTTCTTGCGTAAGAAATGTGGTCTTTGTTATTTAAAAAAATGTTTTTGTTTATTTATCAAAGGCTACGTTTCTTATGTTAGAAATGTGGTCTTTGTATTCTTAAAGATTACATTTCTGAGATAAGAAACGTGGTCTTTGTCTTTTAAAAAGGTGTTCTGTTATTTAACAAAGACTATGTTTCTTATTTTAAAACGTGGTCTTTGTTTTCTTTAAAAATTACGTTTTTGACATATAAAACGTGATCTTTGTTTTAAAGACTACGTTTCTAAATAAAAAAACATAGTTAAAAGTTTCTAAAATACATTGATTTTCAAGGGTTAAATAGATTGAAAAAATTTATAATTGAGGTCAAATGTGAGACAAAATTAACTTTCCTCCCAGAATCTTAAAAACCACAAGGAAAGGTGGGTTTCTGATAATGGGATATTTGGGTACTGTTAAGAGTCTAAGATTATCCCAAGAATTAGATACACGTGAACCAAACATAAGAATCACATTTCCACTAGCAAGATTTCTCCTGAACCGACTGCCCCTTCAAATTATTTTATTCCCTCTTGTATCCAAACATGCTTTATATTTTTTTTGCTTTTGGAAGCAAATAGTAAAATCGTCAAACAAATAAAGCCATAGTTTTTTTTGCTTGTCTCTTCATAATTCATACGGTAAACTTTGTTGAAATTCAAGAAATTCTCACCTGTCAATTCTCCTGTTCCTGCCAACGGATGTTGGTTCAAGTGGTAAATTTGCTCTCTGTTCCCTGGGTTTGAATCTGTTAGGAGGCTCTGGAATGTAATTTCTTGCAAATTCGCTTGGTCCGATATAGATAAACCTGCTTGGACTGGTTTGGGGAGGGGATGTATTGGACAAAGTTTAGGAAGCTCTAACTGCTGAACCAAAAAATAATTCTCTTATTCCTAATTTTATGCGTCATTTCTCTCCATGACTTTCTCGTATGGTAATTCATAAATAAAATGAAACAAGTTGCACTGGTCTGCACTCATGGAATGCAATATAAAGACTGTAGAAGGAATATTACAAAATATTCTTACTAGATCATCTCATATAAATTCCTCAGTGAAATATTACCTAAATACATAAACTAAATTTCTTGAAGATACAATCCTTCCATGTATCTTTTTAGTGACCGACTAATGGCATCGAATTAATGCCTACTATTTGAAACCTTTTTTACCATTAGGTTGTATTACGTTTCTATCTTCTATATTTAGAATCATAAGTCTCCATTTTCTTCACAATGCATCAGAATATTCAGGATGACTGCTCTTTGTGTTGTTTGTTTGGCAGGCTGACATGGTTGTTATCAATCCTTTCTCATGGTCTATGGTTCCTGTTCACGACTGGTGAGTAAGAAACCATTCTTGATAAAAGAATTTTATTATTTGTTGATTTCTGATTGTACTCAATTACAATGGAAAAAATATCTATTTTAGCTTTCACATTGCTATAAGATGAAAAATTACTTGTGCTCAGTTATTTGTTTTATCAGATTTTTGGTTTTTCCTTTTCCAGTTATGCACATTCTAACATCTGAACTGATTTTTGTTGATGATGAATTATTTTGTCTTGAATATTTGCAGTATTTCCAACCTTGTATATTGCATGCGAACTGAGAATATTGTCTCTGTAATGTGCAATGGTCAGTGGATTATGAGAGATAAGAAGATTTTAAATGTGGATGAGGTATTATATCTTCTACTTTTATCCTCTAATTTGTACTTCTTGTTGTTTGTCAGTGTATATTATATATATATATATATATATATATATGGTGCTCTTGTATGCGAGTTTTCTGGCACATCCTTTTTCAACACCTAATGCATATGCTAGGAAGCGGATGATAATGGCTTTCATGCTGTCTGGCTTCAATTAAATTTCTCATGCTTGGTATTCAAATCCAACTGAAGTAGGGTAAAGAATCAAATTTTACACCAAGTTGCAGATAAATCTTCTTGCCTGAAATTATCACGTGAATGAAATGTATCACCTTCATCTTCCTAATGTAAATACAAATGGTAACTGTTCAGGAGGAAGTTATATCATTAGCAAAACGAGCTTCAAGCAAACTTTTGAGAAGAGCAGGCATCGAAATACCAAGCAGAATGACTATCCTCTGATTGTTGGATTATCATGCCCCGATGCCCAGCAATGTCATGTGGAACGTTAAAAGTATGCTCTGATGAAATGCCTTTCTCCTCTTGGTTAATCATATGGGAAACTTGTTCCACAGATAGGTAATAGGTGATCATGTCTCTGCCGTCTTTAATCTGTAAATGCTTCTGCTTTTGATAGTAGCCTCCTCTGTTGGTAATATCATTTTTTTTTTTATTTATAACTTTTTTTATAAAAAATATACATGAATATTATTTTTATATGTTAACAACATTTATCTACATATGAATGGTGTTAGAAATGAAATCATTGTTTCCGAAAACAATGAAAGTAAAAAATTGTGTCTACGATTTTGAATATTGAATTCGATTTTAAAAAAGGGAAATAAGAACTTGTTGCCAAATATGTCTTTTTTTTTTTAATTTCTAAAAAATTAAAAAAAAAAAAACACCCCTAGAACCAAGCCAAACTCACTTTAATGGGAACGGCTGGCTCTCCTTTTAACTTTTTGCAACTGGGGACACTGTTAGTAGTAGCATGGACCTTCACCTCAATTAAAAGGACACCAACCATTCTCAGGTTTCATTTCATAAACATTGGGGGCTTTCGACGGCGTTACTAACCTAAAACCAATATGATTGTTATTCAGGAATTCTCCATATCTCTCTCAAATTAGAGCAAACTAAGCAACAGATTGAATAAAAATGCTTAGATTGAATAAAAAATAATCATAATGCCCAATTTAAAAGCAAACGGGCATTTTCCATTGAGATGAAATCATAGAGACATGGCAGCGCAAGCAACTATCTCTTCCCCTAGAAACTCAAAGGCAGTCTTGCTTGATCTTGGTTAACCCATCATTTAGCTGAAATGTTTCTAGAAGAAAATGACGCCGTCATTGTAACTTGTAGGCACGCCAATTGTTTGTGAAAATGTATTGGATGAATTTTCATTTATATCTTTTTAATCATATAAAAAATTAAATCTATCAATTCTAGCTTAAACTGAAAAATTCATCCAATTAATCCGAATCAAAACCTAATTTAACTCGATTTAATGATAAAAAGTTAACAACCTAAACACAAATCAACCCTAATTTGAATTAACCCAAACTCAAAATAACCTAAAACAAAAATAACCTAAAACCTAAATTATCAGAACCCAAATTGATTTGAAATCGAAATGGCCTAAAAAAATTAATCGAAAATAATGCAAGATTAAATTAAGTATAACTTTATTTAAAAATATTAATTTAATAAAATAATAAAAATAAGACAAAAATAATAAATATAACACATAAAAAATTATTAAAATTATTGAATATCTTAAATTAATATATATATTTAATATCAAATTAATATAAATTATATATGCTATTTACTTATAAAATTTCTTAAAATTATAATATAATTTAAAATAAATTATATATTTTTAATTATCACTGTATCATTTAGAATGAATTATATAATCTTTTACAATTATACATAAGTATCAATTATCATACGATTTAGAATAAAGTATATAAAACAAGTTATTGACATATGTATATACTTTATATTTATGTTATAATTAAATTATTAATTTTTAATCATTAAATTTAGAATAAAAATTATAATGAGGTGCAATTGTACGAAAATTAAAAATCAGGCTTTGTATAGGTCGATTTTTTTCAATAAAAAAATAATATTGATCTAAATATTTTTTTAACATAAATGATATCACAATCTAATACAAAAAAAAAAAAAAAGTAAGATTCTAAGGACTTGTATTGGTAATAGTAATTGTATTTGACATATCAATGGTAGCTAAGAAAACTTTAATATCTATCCTAATAAGCTGTAAAAGTTAACTAAACAATCAGTCGAAGTTTTGGAAAACTCCACTTTTTGTTTCACACGTAAACCATAAGTATGTGAAAAAGATTTGATATCTGTTAAAACATTAAATAAATAGAAATATATTAGGTATTAAAAGCTAAGTAATGACATAAGCATATTAAGCACTTTCATGATAGTGAAGGTGAAAACACTTTTTAAAAGTTGTAAATTACAATACAAAAACAATAAACTCAATTCTTTCACAACATAGATAGAGAAGGTAAACATAATTTTTTTTTTTGAACAAAAGTTGCAAATTACAATAAAAAAATAAACTCAATTCTTTCATAACATAGAAAACATGCATACACATAAAGATATAATTGCCATATTAAACAATTATGGCAATCATTTATACAAGAAATGAATCTTACAATATGGAATACTGCTTTTTTATTTGTCATGAATGAGTTAGTACATAGATTTTGTAATCAAAGTAAATTACAAAACAAAATATGCATTTGTTTATATGTAAGCATAGTAGTTTTTAATATCATTAGCATTTGGGTCAAATATAACAATAAGAAATTACTAATTAGCATAGTATATATAACATATTTTATTTTTATCTATTCATTTAAGAACATAGTAGTTTTTAATATCATTAGCATTTGGGTCAAATATAACAATAAGAAATTACTAATTAGCATGGTATATATAACATATTTTATTTTTGTCTATTCATTTAAGAACTGAGGGGATTGAAAAAGGTAGATTATCTTGTAGCCTAAGTTAGCTAAACACAAATATAAGACTAAGATAAACACAACACAATCCAATACATAAGTAAGAATACAAATATTAAAAAAAAATACAACAACAATAACAAACATAACAACTATAATGCATCAAAAGAAATGATAGAAGCATTATACAATAAAAAAAATAATGAAGAGATAGGAGCCATGAAACATTTAAATGATGATGTATCAAAAGCATACCAAGAAAATGCTAATTTACAAACCAATATTAAAAAATCATAACTTTTGCATTTTGTTGGCAAATGTTCTATAAAGACAAACTAAACAATGTTGTTCTACCAATATGTGTCATAAATTATTATAAGTGAGTTCAAGTTTTAAAGCCTTTACTTTTTTTTTTTTTTTGAACACATGAACTGCCAGTTTAGGGAAAGAAATTGCTATGTTACATGGTGAGATGAAAAGAAATGTATAAGAGATTAAAAGACAATTAAGAATATTGACGTATTGTGCATTTCCATGATGGAGCAGGCCAAATCAATTTACCCAAGAAAAAATATTATAATATCTACCTCTAAAATGGCATCCATAGAGTAGTTTTGAGAATTTCATAGTGTATGCTTCATCCTTTTTGTCCAATTTAGATAATTCTACCATGGCATATTTGATACGTGATTTACCAAACTAAAAGCCTTTTAAACTCAACTTATGCTTTAGCACTTCTTTCTTACTACACGACACTACCAAGACAACATAATCATTTTCCTTTAGCATGAGCTTTCATAAAACTAAAAATTTATTTTTAATGAATTTGGTCACATGTTACAGGTGGTGGGCACATTTTGTAAGATCTTTAATAAAAGAATGATGTAGTTTTATTTGGCAAAAGTTTAAACAATAAAATAACATGACATAAAGGGATACAAGTAAAAATTGATAATGATTCTAATAAGTTAATTACATGTATAAAAGTGAGTAAGCAACACACATGTACATAGAGAACAACATGGAAACAATTTATATTCAAATATAAAATTAGATGAATAGAATAATGTAAAAGGGAAAAGTGATTGTAGACACTCTATTTAGTCCAAGGCCTAAACGGATTGGGTTTTGGAATCGTTTCAAGCCCAATTGTTAAATTTGATGTACTGTATTATGCATTTCCATGATAAAGCAGGGAAAATTAATTTGCCAAAAAAAAGATTATAATATCTACCTCTAAAATGGCATCTATGGGGCAGTTTTGAGAGTTTCATAGTGTATGCTTCACCATTCTTGTCCAATTTAGATAATTCAACCATGGGATATTTGATACGTGATCTACGTAACTAAAAGCCTCTCAAACTCAACCTATGCTTTAGCACTTCTTCTTTGCTACACAACACTACCAAGATGAAGTAATCATTTTGCTTTAGCATAAGCTTTCATAAAATTGAAAATTTATTTTTAATGAATTTAGTCGCATGTTACAGGTGGTGGTCACATTTCATAAAATCTTTAACAAAAGAATGATGTAGTTTTATTTGGCAAAGGTTTAAACAATAAAATAACATGACATAAAGGGATATAAGTAAAAATTGATAATGATTCTAATAAGTTAATTACATGTATAAAAGTGAGTAAGCAACACACATGCACATAGAGAACAACATGGAAACAATTTATATTCAGATATAAAATCAGATAAATAAAGTAATGTAAAAGGAGAAAAATAATTATAGACACCTTATTTAGTCTAGGGCCTAAACTTTTTGGGTTTGGAACCATTTCAAGTCCAATTGTTAAATTTGATGTACTAGACTGTGCATTTCCATGATAAAGCAGGGAAAATTAATTTGCCAAAAAAAAGATTATAATATCTACCTCTAAAATGACATCTATGGGGCAGTTTTGAGAGTTTCATAGTGTATGCTTCACTCTTTTTGTCCAATTTAGATAATTCAACCATGGGATATTTGAAATGATCTACCTAACTAAAAGCCTCTCAAACTCAACCTATGCTTTAGCATTTCTTCCTTACTACACGACACTACTAAGATGATGTAATCATTTTGCTTTAGAATAAGCTTTCATAAAATTGAAAATTTATTTTTAATGAAATTAGTCGCATGTTACAGGTGGTGAGCACATTTCATAAAGTCTTTAACAAAAAAATGATGCAATTTTATTTGGCAAAAGTTTAAACAATAAAATAATATGACATAAAAAGATATAAGTAAAAATTGATAATGATTCTAACCAGTTAATTACATGTATAAAAGTGAGTAAGCAACACACATACACATAGAGAATGACATAGAAACAATTTATATTTAGATATAAAATCAAATAAATAGAGTAATGTAAAAGGGGAAAAGTGATTGTAGATACCCTATTTAATCCAAGGCCTAAGTCGGTTGGGTTTGGAACTGTTTCAAGGCTAATTGTTAAATTTGACATATTATACTATGCATTTCCTTGATAGAGCAGGGCAAATCAATTTGCCAAAAAAAAAGATTATAATATCTACCTCTAAAATGGCATCTATAGAGTAGTTTTGAGAGTTTCATAGTGTATGCTTCATCTTTCTTGTCTAGTTTAGATAATTCTACCATGGCATATTTGATACATGATCTACCTAACTAAAAGCCTCTCAAAGTCAACCTGTGCTTTAGCACTTCTTCTTTACTATACAACACTACCAAGATGACAT